GGCTGGGATGCTGGGGAGGGGAGGGGCAGGAGGGGGGCAAGAGTGAGGGGCTGTCTCCCGGCCGGGCTGCGATGCTGACGGCACCGCTGAGCTGCCGTGGGTGCTTTCCAGGCAGGGGTGCCCTCTGCACCTGATGGCGGCAGTGGTCCAAAGCAGCCATTCCTCTTGCAAGCAGCAATCAAAGTTGTGATTTGAACAGCGTTGGTTCCTGGAGGCCGCACAACACATGTTTTTAGGTACGCTCATGCAGGCCTCGTGTGCTGAACTCGTCGCCTCGCCCTTCCCCTCACTTGTCGCTGCCTACAGGCCAGGCGTCGCGCCTCGAGGCTGCCGGGAAGCTGACCAGGCGGCTGCAGTTCCACCGCGGCCTGCAGGTGCGGGGCGGCGGTGCTGATTGTAGAATATGCTAAGAACCTTGGCTAATGCGAAGTAACAGGGCTCCGCAGGCAGCTGCACTGAGCCTCCTGTCTTATACAGTTTGTGGCGTGGCGACCCGTGACAAGACTGCAGCTGACCCCATTCATGGAGCTTACATCGCCACAGAATCCCCAAATGCTCACCCAACCCCAAACCCATCACTTCCCAATCCTTTGCTTTGCACGCGGGTACAAAGCAAGCGCCCAGGAACCCCTCAACACCACGCGAGCGTTCTCCACCCTACCGCCAACCCCGCCCACCCCAAATGCACCTCTCATCCTCCCCTTGAGCGGCTGCGATCAAGCCCGTCACAACACCACATCTCATCCCCGCGCTTGACCGTCCATCCACAGCACCCCTTTGCCTCAAGTTATCCAACCGCCCCTGCCTCGACTCATCAAACCACCCTCACTACTAATCCAACCAGGATGCCAAGGAGGCGCTGGCCCTGCAGAAGGGCTGGCGCGAGCGCACCGGCCTGGGGCGCCCGGGGGACGACGCAGCGCTCGCGGCCGCGCTGGCGGCCGCCAGCCGCGGGGGAGGGGAGACGCTCCGCGACGCGGCGGCGGCGCGGGCGGCGCGGCAGGCCAACGCCGCCAACAGCCTCCCCAGGTGCGGGGGTGCGGCACGGGCGGCGCGCACGCCCCCCCGCCTTGCGGTCGTTTCGGCCCTACCCCGCCTCGATTGGCGTGGTTTCGACCTTCCCATGGACCTGGGTCAGCGTAGTTACTCACACGGCCTGGCCACTGCACCGGGTGGCGCCCCGAGTCAAAGCAGCTCTGCGGCTGGTTAACACGCCCTCATCAGGCCATGGGCCCTGAGCCCCCATCGCCAGCGCAAGCGCCTTGTCACCGTGCCGTTCTTGATCGCAAAACTCTCATCAACTCCCCCCCACACACACACACACCCAAACCCAACACACACACCAGGTGCCAAGTGTGCGAGGCGTGCACTCAGTGCACCGGCGCCACCCACCGCCGCCGCTGCCTCGTGATGCGTGCCGCCGCCGCGGCCGCCGGCGGCCATGCGGGCGCGCAGCTGGCGGTGATGGGGGAGGCGGCGGTGGGGGCGCGCGTCAGCGTGTGGTGGCCCATGGACGGGCAGTGGTTCGCGGGACAGGTGGGCCGCGGGCGCGCGCGCGATCTTGCGGCCCCGCAAGCTCGCTGCATTGTTTCTGGTGCTGCGCCTTTGCAGCAACGCGGAGGGCGGCGAGCAGGCGGTGTCGGCTACCAGGATGGATAGCCGGCCGTGCCTCGGCCGTCGACTCAATAGAGGAGATGCTCATGCCGCACCTGCCCCCCCCTTGACCACCACCAGCGGACCCCAGTGCACTGGGCGCCGCGCGTTGTCGCCGGGTCCCCATGCGCCCCGCCGCGCACTGAAATTTTTTCGGCCATTCATCGCGGCACTGCCCCCTTCCTCTGCCCCCTCCCCTCTCC